GACGCGGCCTTCACTCTCGACTCCTTGTGCGAGGTTGAGGAGTTCGACCTCGCCGACGCCGGCCGCGAGGAGATGGAGTCGCGTAAAGCTACCGTGGCGAGCAGTATGAAGGAGTTGGCGACCCAGCAGTTCCAGGGCACTGTCGACGCTTCGAGGGATGCTGAGTTGGCCCATGACAAGCATGCATCGGTTGCACAGGTAGAGGAATACACACGACGGTGAATATATCCCAGAATTCTAAGTTGACGGACTTGGCTGCAGCTGGTTCAGCGGGTTCGGGAAGTTCATCGTCGGAGGCGAAGCGTGGCGGTGATTCGGCAGATTGCTCATCTTATCTAACCGGCCAGAGTGAGCCTCAGACATTCGCAGCAGCTCTGCTGAACAAGAGTTGTCTAAGGAAGTCCCCCCCCGGCATCCCAACGGTTTGAGCAGGGGTATATCGCTAATTCTACTTATTTCCCTACAGTTCGGCATGTTCGAGGTTGGTGAGGCCTGGGCGACCTCGGCTACACCTGCCCGTCGTCCGCGGCTGCCCTCTTCACCAAATCCCAGAGAAGGCGGCCCCCTCCAGTCGGGGTTCCACTGGTCGGCGGATCGCCTCCTGATGGGGCCGTTGCAGGGACCGGCTGGAGCGAGCGGATGAGTTCACGTTCGCCACCATCGTCACTTGCGTTGGCGAGATCTTCTCAGGACCAGCCGTTCATTGCCCTTGTGTCCACGCTTGCTCCTTCAAAATTCCGATTAGCGTTGGTGCCCATGAGGGTCTCAGCCCCGATTCGGTTCCTCTCGGGTTGTCGGGTCTGGCCTGCAGGAGCCCATCGGATAGCCCGTTTCCCTCCTTTCAGGGTCCACGGTAGGGGCCTTCGGCGGTCCGAGTTTCCTCCTTGTGCGTATTTGGGAACGAGCGTGGGCTCCGTTTCGCCCTTGGAGATGTCCCCACCTTCTGTCGGAGCGAGTCGCCTGGCCTCAGAACGACGGGTCTTTCTGGGGCCCCGGGCCTTCCCCCTGCCCAGCGTGGCCGGCGTCGCCATCGCTGCGCGCGCAGGCAAAGGCGCCTTGCCACCCGGGCATTTCTTTGGAACGAGGAATACTTTTTCAATCTAGCTATTCGTGCTGAGGTCGACCACACCATTCTGCGCCCCTGGACAGACGCCAGAGACAGGTTGCCAGCGTACACGCAGCGTTCGACGCACGTTGGCACGCGGCAGTGGGCGCGCGCCCTGAGCTCTTCCCAGCGCGCACCACGGCCTGGCCAGTGCCTCTGACTCTCCAGGCCCAGCGTCTGGCGCCCGTGGCCAGGGCGCCCAGAGCTCGGCAGGGCGAGCAGGTTGCGCCGGCCTCCTGGGCGGTGAGCTGCAAAAGTTTGGTCGCGACTTTGGATCTCCTGGACTCGGGCCCCGACGTGCATATCTCGGCATGCCGCGGGCATGCGCCGAGGAACAAGGGGGCCTTCAGCGTGCCCCAGCCTCCGCGTTGAAGAAGGATTGGGGTTGAATTTGGATACCGGGCGCAGCGGGCCCCTCGGGGCCCGCGAGTTGCGGGGTTGCTACTCTGGCCAGGAAATGGTTTGGAAAGCGCCCGATTAGAAGGGGGTTAGTCGCATGATTTGCGCGGCTCGCCCCCGCCCCCCCGCCCCGCCCCCCGCCTCCATTGCCATCTTCGCCGCCTCGCTGCATCTGGAGCGCGCCGCGGGCACGGGCGTCGAGGGCGTCGGCATCTTGCCGAAGCTAGAGTAGTTCCTCGGCGCTTTGGACTGCGAGCTCGTCGTCGCGGGAGGCCTCGCTCTTGGCCCGAAGTTCTCACGGGCGCCAGGTTACCAGGAACGTCTACTGGCTGAGTTGGCCCCCGCCGGCCAGCGCGCCCGCGTCGGTCCTCATCCGTGCCCCGGCGAATTGGCCCGCGCCCCGGCAAGGCGGCCCACCCGCCGGCGGCGCCGGGGAAATGGCCCAGGTTGAAGGCGCCACGATAGTGACTGTTCCGAACAGCGTCGCCCTGGATGGGGCCTGCAAAAAATAATGTCATATATATATATATTGTTTTTTTGAAAACTGGCAGGCTTGCTTGCAAACGTTGAGTTGCCCCGAGATGTCACTTGGGAATGGGCCAGTCGGCGCGCGTAGTAGTAGTAGTAGTAGTAGTAGTAGTAGTAGTAGTAGTAGTAGTAGTAGTAGTAGTAGTAGTAGTAGTAGTAGTAGTAGTAGTAGTAGTAGTAGTAGTAGTAGTAGTAGTAGTAGTAGTAGTAGTAGTAGTAGTAGTAGTAGTAGTAGTAGTAGTAGTAGAGTAGGAGGAGTAGGAGTGGAGTAGGAGTAGGAGTAGTAGTATAGTAGTAGTAGTAGTGGTAGTGGTAGTAGTAGCGGTAGTAGTTGTAGTAGTAGTAGTAGTAGTAGTAGTAGTAGTAGTAGTAGTAGTAACAGTGGTAGTAGTAGTGATAGTGGTAGTGGTAGTAGTAGTAGTAGTAGTAGTAGTAGTAGTAGTAATAGTAGTAATAGTAGTAATACTA